ATATATATATATATATAAAATCGTATAGCCTATATTAAACTTATTTATATCTACATACACGTTGTAATCGTGTAAACACGTGCGCGCATACCATACGTTTGTTGTCTATATAAACTGCAGGCTGTATTTCGCACGTGTGTATGTACTTCAGAGACAATATGTACGTAGTATATCGATGAGACAGACCCGGATAGCGTATATACCTGTAAGGATTATTTCTTTCATTGTTATCATACGCAGGATGTTAACAGTAATAATAACGTCGACAGTAACAATAACAATTAATGATAACAATAGTAGTAATAATTTAGCACACACGCAGTCGGTTCTTGGCGATGATTCCAAGCGGACAATGCATACAATAAAATTTGTGATAAACGGGAATTGGACATTTGTCTGTGCTTTGCAAAAAAAAAAAAAGAAAAAGATTCATGACTTTGTCGAGAAATTTTATAACGTATACGCGCCCACAAAGTATGTGATCTAGTGTTGCGACACCACCGGTCCAACGTATTCGATTTATCTCTGGCTTTCAGTTTTAAACCTCTGGGGAAAGTAAATGACGCCATTTAATCAATCGCACCGGGAAGGAGCGGATTAAATGTAGCTTGCGTTTTTATCGAGCTTGTTGGACAAAAAAAGGTAAATCGCGGTCATTTGCGGCGAAAAATTACGAGGAACACAAATATTACATTTGACGTCGATTCCACTGATACAGAAAATCAGTCATTTAAACGTATTGAAATTCCAAATCATTATTTGTATCATTGAAAAACAAAGGTGAAATATCCTTCATAAAAACTGAAACACGTCATATTTATACAGAAAATTTGTAACTTAAGTCATTAAAAGAATGTACGATGGGAACATATTTTATATCCCGCGCTAGCTATTCAATTATTCGCATAAAAGAAAACAAAGCTTAATGTAAGGGCGTCCTGAAAAAGATATACAGAGTAATTATTTAAAAATGCGAATATTTTTAATTATTTTGACAGAGAAGAAATACAATTCGTTCTTAAGTCTAATGTCAATTTTATTTTTGCAAAATTGTAAAACAACTATTTTATTTCCTTAATTTTTTGCATTAAATATTTGAAATATGCGATCAAATATTGAGAATATTTATTATTGTAAGATATATCGATACTTCGTATATTTGATTTTTCGATTAAGAAAAATGATAAAAATGATAAAATGTTATTCGCATGTGCTTTCTCGTGATTACATCCAAAAGGATATCAGAAATCATTATTGCTATATTATAGAGAATAGATGAAATGAATAAATTTTTTTAATCGAACGTTATGACCGGTTTTTGAATGCAGTTACGAACAAATCGAGTAGTTGTACTTGTGCGCTCTTTGTACAAATATCCCGTAACGTGATCATATCAATGTAACTTAGACTTATAACACATACGTACATTATACAGCTATACATACTGGACGCGCAATATTAAGAAGCTCTTGTATGTTAAATAAACCGAGATTAAATAAAATTGTTGATATGTGATGTTGTAATCGGAAATTCGATACAAAATATGAGACTTTTCATAATTTTTTTCTTTTTTTCTTTGGCGAACGCCATTGGAATTATGTACATCGCCGTATCATTAATAAAAATAAATATAATACGGCTTTCTTATCAAATATATATTTATTTATCCATTTCTAATTTATCGCAAATTTTTTTGTATTAAAAAAAGATATTAAAATATTATTGATGAGATAATATTAAAATCTTTAATAATATTCAGTTGATATAAATTTTTTTTCTCTCTTTATCTTCCTTTTAAGAATTGAAGATACTTTAATAAAACAATTTTTTTGTAAAAATTATTTTTACTATATGCGTATTGCTCTCTGCCGTTATCTAGGAGAAGCCCTTTGTGTTTATCTTACAATTTCTCCCAGTTCCATTTCCAGCAGATTGCGAATCTGCCAGCTGTACGTACACACATACTCATTGAAGATACCTACTATTTCGACTGTTAATACATTTCTAATATATTCTCTCGTGTCTTTCAGATATATTATATTTAATTTAACAGAATACATATATATATATATATATATATATA